GCCTCATAATTACCTGTGTGAGTCAAGGTGTTGTGTACACCTGGCTGCCTCAAGCTCACTCCAAACACCACACCTCCAAAAACATGTTTTATGCCTCGTTTAGGGTATTGTTTAGTGAGGTTAAATCACGTTGTGTTTGGCAGTTATCTGGACGGGTGAGCGCATGACTAGAGCCTCGTGCCAACACGGTCAGCTAACCTTACTTACATGTGGATTGGTTTTACTACAAAGTTATTGCAAAATAATTGTTTATATTTTTGAGAATTATTAATATCATGACAAATTAAAACAATGTGTCATCCAATGGTGACAGTACCTATAGCAACTATTGGTCGAATGTACAAAAATTGACTGTTGCAGCCATATAAATTTAACGATTTGTATGATTAATTTTGTAGTGGTCACGAGAAAGAAGGCAACAACGAAGCTAAACTTTTCTGGTTGATACCTGGTTGATTCCTGGTTGATGGGGTTCTGGGAGTTCTTCTACTCCCCAAGCCCGGCCCGAGGCCAGGCTTGACTTGTTAGAGTTTGGTCCACCAGGCTGTTGCTTGGAGCGGCCCGCAGGCCCACATATACCTGGTTGATGGGGTTCTGGGAGTTCTTCTACTCCCCAAGCCCGGCCCGAGGCCAGGCTTGACTTGTGAGAGTTTGGTCCACCAGGCTGTTGCTTGGAGCTGCCCGCAGGTCCACATATACCTGGTTGATGGGGTTCTGGGAGTTCTTCTACTCCCCAAGCCCGGCCCGAGGCCAGGCTTGACTTGTGAGAGTTTGGTCCACCAGGCTGTTGCTTGGAGCGGCCCGCAGGCCCACATACCCACCACAGCCCGGTTGGTCCGGCACTCCTTGGAGGAATAAATCTAGTTTCCTCTTAAAAGGCCTCCCTAGGTCTAATATATCTCACACACTAAACTACCCAAGAGACCTACAGTAAAGTTTTCAAGACAAAGTCTGTAAACATGAACAAGAGATGAGAAGGAGTGATATGCAAAGTATAATTACATGTAAGCACACACACACTACATCAGGCGAGGCCCATCTTACACACACACATCTTACATATTCCTGGTTGCAATTCTTATGACCCTGTCGTAGCTCAGTCGATTAAGGCAGCGTCTGGGATGCTCTCGGACGCAGGTTCGAATCCTCGTCACGGCCCACCTTACTCAGTTCTGGCACGACTATTCACAGAACTCCTGAGTCCTAATTCTCTACCTGAAAGTCACTCAACAATCTTCTTAAACATCTTTTTCTACGAACCTCGACATTTTAGATGTGAAATATGACAGTGTCATCCATTTAAGCTTAGTGAAATATTACAACTAATTATCTGCCGACTCGAGAAGAGGAACAACATTTCCAAATGGACGAAATATGAAGCCCAATGGTCGTCGGGTCCACCAGTCTATTGTGAGCTGCTGCCGAGGCTCTGAGAGTAAGACCAGCTTTACTACCCCCCTCCTCAGTTATTAACATTACTTACGACATCTTAACATCCCAGTGTGTTACTAATCGCCCGGGCTGCTCTGCCTCCACTCTCCCCGACATTGTAACCGCCGCCAAACACGAAAAAGCACAACGGTGTATGTAAATGTTAACCCTGAAAATTATTTCCCGTTTTCTCCGGGGGTTTTCACTGCATTTTGTTAAGTCACTGCTGGAGAAGTGTTGAGGAAAGCAAAAATACTCCTTCCTCCTGGTCAGTGCACCTCGGGTAATTGCTCAGGCAAAAAATGCTCAGCGCTCAGGACCAGAAGAAAGAATAGGGCGCCTCCGTGGCTGAGGGGCGTATGTGTTCCCTGTTGGGACCTCGACCCAGCGACTCTACAAGAAGGTGTCCGAGGTGTGACTGTCCCTCCCTCCCCCGGCAGGACGGGTCCCGCCACGGAGGGCACAAGGAACAAGGAAACGCTGCAACTCAGACAGAAGTAAAGACAAAGAGCGTGGAAGAGACTGATAAAGCAAGGAAAGACAGACGAAGAACAAGAAGACGAAACCCCGAGACAGGAGTAAAGACAGAGACGAAGAACAGGGAAGCGAGATCGTCTGAGATACATAATGAGACCAGCAGAGTTACGGGATCACCATACCCCGTGCTACATGGACACTAAATCTCAAACCACAACAACTAGCAGAGTGAGACACAGGTCCACAAGGTGCCACCACCCTCTCTCATCCTACACCATATCACCATCCCTTAGAACCCACTGGCTAGGGGATAGTGATCAACCCACACCAAGTGTCGCCCCTATCAGGTGAGGAGGGGGGGGGGTCCCACGGCACGTGGTGCACCATATAACTTGTGGGGCGCCACCCCCCCCCCTCTCCCCCTTCCCCCCAAAACCAGGGGCGAAATTAAATCTGTGACTTGGAGCCGTCATACAGGGATGAGACGGTGTAGTCTACTAGTCTATACACGCAGCTGTTTACGTTGGAGGGAGGCAGAGAGAGAGAGAGAGAGAGAGAGAGAGAGAGAGAGAGAGAGAGAGAGAGAGAGAGAGAGAGAGAGAGAGAGAGAGAGAGAAAGAGAGAGAAAGAGAGAGAAAGAGAAAGAGAGAGAAAGAGAGAAAGAGAAAGAGAGAGAGAGAGAGAGAGAGAGAGAGAGAGAGAGAGAGAGAGAGAGAGAGAGAGAGAGAGAGAGAGAAAGAGAGAGAAAGAGAGAGAAAGAGAGAGAAAGAGAGAGAAAGAGAGAGAAAGAGAGAGAAAGAGAAAGAAAGAGAAAGAAAGAGAGAGAGAGAGAGAGAGAGATGAGGATATCTTCAAGAACACGAGAGTGAATAAAGTAATTGCAAAGCTCCAGGTACCTCATGCCAACTGGTCTGAAAGGTCTAATAACTGGGCATTCAGTGATGTAGTGTGGGAGATCATGCCGTAGTTCCTGCTCACAGAGTTTGCACCTGGAGTGCTCAGGATTGGGAGATCCGTTGCCTGTAGCCACCTGCCACAGGTAACGGTAGCCACCTGCCACAGGTAACGGTAGCCACCTGCCACAGGTAACGGTAGCCTCCTGCCACAGGTAACGGTAACCACCTGCCACAGGTAACGGTAGCCACCTGCCACAGGTAACGGTAGCCACCTGCCACAGGTAACGGTAGCCACCTGCCACAGGTAACGGTAGCCACCTGCCACAGGTAACGGTAGCCACCTGCCACAGGTAACGGTAGCCACCTGCCACAGGTAACGGTATAGCCACCTGCCACAGGTAACGGTAGCCACCTGCCATAGGTAACGGTAGCCACCTGCCACAGGTAACGGTAGCCACCTGCCACAGGTAACGGTAGCCACCTGCCACAGGTAACGGTAGCCACCTGCCATAGGTAACGGTAGCCACCTGCCACAGGTAACGGTAGTCACCTGCCACAGGTAACGGTAGCCACCTGCCACAGGTAACGGTAGCCACCTGCCACAGGTAACGGTAGCCACCTGCCACAGGTAACGGTAGCCACCTGCCACAGGTAACGGTAGCCACCTGCCACTGGTAACGGTAACCCAACCTGATCCTGGCAACCACTGTGTCGCACAGTCTGGTCCACGTTTGGTGCTGCCCATAAACATAGGTTTCAGATCTGAACAAATCACAGCTTTTTATACTGGTGCTTTCAGGTCGTTGGGAGTCAGTAATTTCTCTCCTGTCAGACCTGAGTGTTTGGACCAATACAGTTTTGACAGCAGAGATGGGGATACCTAGATCTAACTCAACTTCATCTTTGTTACACGCTAATGTGGCTGCAATGTCTGTCTCATTATGATGGGTTATATTTATGTGTGATGGTATCCATAGAAAGGAGATTCGAGACCCTTTACTCTGTGCATCAATTAGGTCATTTATAATTGGTAGTATGAGGTTCTTGCTGTCGATCTTCCAAGAGAAGTTTTCGATTGCTGGAAGAGCAGACTTTGAATCACAAAATATTATTCCTCCTCCATTGCTTTTTTTTAATGTACTGGTAGTTAGTTGTAATGCTGCTAGTTCTGCTTGTGTGGAGGTCAGCCACTTGTTTAACCTGACACTGACAGTCTTTGTGCAAATATTATTTCTATATCACCTACATGCAGCAAGATTCTCATTATCTTTCTTGGTGACAGGTGTGTATGATACTTGAATGGTGGGGTACAGATAAAGAGGAATATCAGAGACAGGTAGATTGCAACTAAAAACTAATGTTGAGTTTGATGAGATTGTAAGCATTGTTGCTCAGCCAATTATCATAAAAGGAGTGAGTTGGTATGTCGGCACCAGTCAAAAGGGTGTTAACAGCACTAAATAATTTGTCTCTGAGCAATGCAGGAGATGTTAGGTCTCTCATGACTTTAAGACAAAAGGTGGTGTTGACTTGCATTATTCTCTCTAGTATGGTTGGAAACTTCAGTTCTTCCCTCATGTTGATGATTCTTGTGCATCTTGGGGCACCAAGAATTATCCTCATGGCCTCATTCTGTACTACAAGTTTGTCCAACACAGAGGAGGGGAAATTAATTAAGTGCAGAGCATTATAATCAACGAGAGATCTAACAAACATCATATAGAATAGTCTAGCATATTTAATATTGATACCAATATTCTTACCAGTAAGTGTTCTCAATGGTTTTAGTCTTTCTTTTAACCTACGGTGTAGATCATTTACAATGTCACTGTTAATACCAACTCCAAGGTATTTGTGCTGCCCACACGTTTCAATGTTCTGGGTGGTGACCTTGAAAGCTATAGGGACATGAGTGTTCTCTTGGGGATGGAGAACTCTGGATTTAGTTATAGATAACAAGACCACATTCAATGCTTTTAGCAGCGAGTGAATCAAGTAGAGCTTGCAGTCTAGTTTGGGTGTTTGCAACGATGCATATATCATCGACATAACAAATGACGGACCAGCCGCACCCAGCTGGTCACTGCCGCACCCAGCTGGTCACTGCCGCACCCAGCTGGTCACTGCCGCACCCAGCTGGTCACTGCCGCACCCAGCTGGTCACTGCCGCACCCAGCTGGTCACTGCCGCACCCAGATGGTCACTGCCGCAGCCAGCTGGTCACTGCCGCACCCAGCTGGTCACTGCCGCACCCAGCTGGTCACTGCCGCACCCAGCTGGTCACTGCCGCACCCAGCTGGTCACTGCCGCACCCAGCTGGTCACTGCCGCACCCAGTAGGTCACTGCCGCACCCAGCTGGTCACTGCCGCACCCAGCTGGTCACTGCCGCACCCAGCTGGTCACTGCCGCACCCAGCTGGTCACTGCCGCACCCAGCTGGTCACTGCCGCACCCAGCTGGTCACTGCCGCACCCAGCTGGTCACTGCCGCACCCAGCTGGTCACTGTCGCACCCAGCTGGTCACTGCCGCACCCAGCTGGTAACTGCCGCACCCAGCTGGTCACTGCCGCACCCAGCTGGTCACTGCCGCACCCAGCTGGTCACTGCCGCACCCAGCTGGTCACTGCCGCACCCAGCTGGTCACTGCCGCACCCAGCTGGTCACTGCCGCACCCAGCTGGTCACTGCCGCACCCAGCTGGTCACTGCCGCACCCAGCTGGTCACTGCCGCACCCAGCTGGTCACTGCCGAGCTGGTCACAAGTGTTCACCAGCCAGTCACCAGTGTTCACCAGCCAGTCACCAGTGTTCACCAGCCAGTCACCAGTGTTCACCAACCAGTCACCAGTGTTCACCAACCAGTCTCTAGTGTTCACCAACCAGTCACCAGTGTTCACCAACCAGTCTCTAGTGTTCACCAGCCAGTCATCAGTGTTCACCAGTCAGTCAGCAGTGTTCACCAGCCAGTCATCAGTGTTCACCAACCAGTCACCAGTGTTCACCAGCCAGTCTCTAGTGTTCACCAGCCAGTCACCAGTGTTCACCAACCAGTCACCAGTGTTCACCAGCCAGTCACCAGTGTTCACCAGCCAGTCACCAGTGTTCACCAACCAGTCACCAGTGTTCACCAGCCAGTCACCAGTGTTCACCAGCCAGTCTCTAGTGTTCACCAGCCAGTCACCAGTGTTCACCAACCAGTCTCTAGTGTTCACCAGCCAGTCATCAGTGTTCACCAGTCAGTCAGCAGTGTTCACCAGCCAGTCACCAGTGTTCACCAGCCAGTCTCTAGTGTTCACCAACCAGTCACCAGTGTTCACCAACCAGTCTCTAGTGTTCACCAGTCAGTCATCAGTGTTCACCAGTCAGTCACCAGTGTTCACCAGCCAGTCTCTAGTGTTCACCAACCAGTCACCAGTGTTCACCAACCAGTCTCTAGTGTTCACCAGTGTTCACCAGTGTTCACCAGCCAGTCTCCAGTGTTCACCAGCCAGTCACCAGTGTTCACCAGTGTTCTCCAGTGTTCACCAACCAGTCACCAGTGTTCACCAGTCAGTCACCAGTGTTCACCAGCCAGTCACCAGTGTTCACCAGCCAGTCACCAGTGTTCACCAGCCAGTCACCAGTGTTCACCAACCAGTCACCAGTGTTCACCAGCCAGTCTCTAGTGTTCACCAGCCAGTCACCAGTGTTCACCAACCAGTCACCAGTGTTCACCAACCAGTCACCAGTGTTCACCAACCAGTCACCAGTGTTCACCAGCCAGTCTCCAGTGTTCACCAGCCAGTCACCAGTGTTCACCAACCAGTCACCAGTGTTCACCAACCAGTCACCAGTGTTCACCAGCCAGTCACCAGTGTTCACCAGCCAGTCACCAGTGTTCACCAACCAGTCACCAGTGTTCACCAGCCAGTCACCAGTGTTCACCAGCCAGTCACCAGTGTTCACCAACCAGTGTTCACCAGTGTTCACCAACCAGTTCACCAGTGTTCACCAGTCAGTCACCAGTGTTCACCAGTTCACAGTGTTCACCAGTGTTCACCAGCCAGTCACCAGTGTTCACCAACCAGTCACCAGTGTTCACCAGCACAGTGTTCACCAGTGTTCACCAGTGTTCACCAGTGTTCACCAGTGTTCACCAACCAGTCACCAGTGTTCACCAGCCAGTCACCAGTGTTCACCAGCCAGTGTTCACCGGTGTGTTCACCAGCCAGTGTTCACCAGTGTTCACCAGCCAGTCACCAGTGTTCACCAGCCAGTCACCAGTGTTCACCAGCCAGTCTCTAGTGTTCACCAGTGTTCACCAGTGTTCACCAGCCAGTCACCAGTGTTCACCAGCCAGTCACCAGTGTTCACCAACCAGTCACCAGTGTTCACCAGCCAGTCACCAGTGTTCACCAGTGTTCACCAGTCACCAGTGTTCACCAGTGTTCACCAGTGTTCACCAGTGTTCACCAGTGTTCACCAACCAGTCACCAGTGTTCACCAGCCAGTCACCAGTGTTCACCAGTGTTCACCACCAACCAGTCACCAGTGTTCACCAACCAGTCACCAGTGTTCACCAGTGTTCACCAGTGTTCACCAGTGTTCACCACCAGTGTTCACCAGTGTTCACCAGTGTTCACCAGTCTTCACCGCTGTTCACCAGTGTTCACCAGTGTTCACCAGTGTTCACCAGTGTTCACCAGTGTTCACCAGTGTTCACCAGTGTTCACCAGTGTTCACCACCAGTCACCAGTGTTCACCAGTGTTCACCAGTGTTCACCAGTGTTCACCAGTGTTCACCAGTGTTCACCAGTGTTCACCAGTGTTCACCAGCTGTTCACCAGTGTTCACCAGTGTTCACCAGTGTTCACCGTGTGTTCACCAGTGTTCACCAGTGTTCACCAGTGTTCACCAGTGTTCACCAGTGTTCACCAGCCAGTCACCAGTGTTCACCAGTGTTCACCAGTGTTCACCAGTGTTCACCAGTGTTCACCAGTGTTCACCAGTGTTCACCAGCCAGTCACCAGTGTTCACCAGCCAGTCACCAGTGTTCACCAGCCAGTCACCAGTGTTCACCAGCCAGTCACCAGTGTTCACCAGTTTTCACCAGTTCACCAGTGTTCACCAGCCAGTCACCAGTGTTCACCAGTGTTCACCAGTGTTCACCAGCCAGTCACCAGTGTTCACCAGTGTTCACCACCGTCACCAGTGTTCACCAGTGTTCACCAGTGTTCACCAGTGTTCACCAGTGTTCACCAGTGTTCACCAGTGTTCACCAGTGTTCACCAGTTTTCAGTCACCAGTGTTCACCAGCCAGTCACCAGTGTTCACCAGTGTTCTCTAGTGTTCACCAGCCAGTCACAGTGTTCACCAGCCAGTCACCAGTGTTCACCAGTGTTCACCAGTGTTCACCAGCCAGTCACCAGTGTTCACCAGCCAGTCACCAGTGTTCACCAGCCAGTCACCAGTGTTCACCAGCCAGTCACCAGTGTTCACCAGCCAGTCACCAGTGTTCACCAGCCAGTCACCAGTGTTCACCAGTCAGTCACCAGTGTTCACCAGCCAGTCTCTAGTGTTCACCAGCCAGTCACAAGTGTTCACCAACCAGTCACCAGTGTTCACTAGCCAGTCACCAGTGTTCACCAGCAGTTCACCAGTGTTCACCAGCCAGTCACCAGTGTTCACCAGTTCACCAGTCACCAGTGTTCACCAGTGTTCACCAGTGTTCACCAGTCAGTCACCAGTGTTCACCAGTGTTCAGTCACCAGTGTTCACCAGCCAGTCACCAGTGTTCACCAACCAGTCACCAGTGTTCACTAGCCAGTCACCAGTGTTCACCAGTCAGTGTTCACCAGTGTTCACCAGCCAGTCTCTAGTGTTCACCAACCAGTCACCAGTGTTCACCAGTCACCAGTGTTCACCAGTCACCAGTGTTCACCAGCCAGTCACCAGTGTTCACCAGCCAGTCACCAGTGTTCACCAGCCAGTCACCAGTGTTCACCAGCCAGTCACCAGTGTTCACCAGCCAGTCACCAGTGTTCACCAACCAGTCACCAGTGTTCACCAACCAGTCACCAGTGTTCACCAACCAGTCACCAGTGTTCACCAGCCAGTCACCAGTGTTCACCAGCCAGTCACCAGTGTTCACCAACCAGTCACCAGTGTTCACCAGCCAGTCACCAGTGTTCACCAACCAGTCACCAGTGTTCACCAAACAATCTACGAGTGACGAAAGTGCACACTCCGCGGTAATTAGTGTTACAAACAGCCTCGTTGTGCTTCGGAGCTCCCAAACTGTTTCGCGAGGGAACATAAACCAATCATAATTGTCGGAAGGTGAACACGCTTAGTAAGTGGCTCAGGTCACCAGAGACGAGGTCAAGAGTCACTCTATACACCCAGGGGGAGGTCAAGAGTCACTATACACCCAGGGGGAGGTCAAGAGTCACTATACACCCAGGGGGAGGTCAAGAGTCACTCTATACACCCAGGGGGAGGTCAAGAGTCACTCTATACACTCAGGGGGAGGTCAAGAGTCACTCTATACACCCAGGGGGAGGTCAAGAGTCACTCTATACACCCAGGGGGAGGTCAAGAGTCACTCTATACACCCAGGGGGAGGACAAGAGTCACTCTATACACCCAGGGGGAGGTCAAGAGTCACTCTATACACCCAGGGGGAGGTCAAGAGTCACTCTATACACCCAGGGGGAGGTCAAGAGTCACTCTATACACTCAGGGGAAGGTCAAGAGCCACTCTATACACCCAGGGGGAGGTCAAGAGTCACTCTATACACCCAGGGGGAGGTCAAGAGTCACTCTATACACCCAGGGGGAGGTCAAGAGTCACTCTATACACTCAGGGGAAGGTCAAGAGCCACTCTATACACCCAGGGGAGGTCAAGAGTCACTCTATACACCCAGGGGAGGTCAAGAGCCACTCTTTAAACCCTGGGGAGGTCAAGAGCCACTCTATACACCCAGGGGGAGGTCAAGAGTCACTCTATACACCCAGGGGGAGGATAAGAGTCACTCTATACACCCAGGGGGAGGACAAGAGTCACTATACACCCAGGGGGAGGTCAAGAGCCACTCTATACACCCAGGAGGAGGACAAGAGTCACTCTATACACCCAGGGGGAGGTCAAGAGCCACTCTATACACCCAGGAGGAGGACAAGAGTCACTATACACCTAGGGGGAGGACAAGAGTCACTATACACCCAGGGGGAGGACAAGAGTCACTATACACCCAGGGGGAGGTCAAGAGTCACTCTATACACCCAGGGGGAGGTCAAGAGTCACTCTATACACCCAGGGGGAGGTCAAGAGTCACTATACACCCAGGGGGAGGACAAGAGTCACTATACACCCAGGGGGAGGACAAGAGTCACTATACACCCAGGGGGAGGACAAGAGCCACACTATACACCCAGGGGGGAGGTCAAGAGCCACACTATACACCCAGGGGGAGGTCAAGAGCCACTCTATACACCCAGGGGGCGGTCAAGCGTCACTATACACCCAGGGGGAGGTCAAGAGTCACTATACACCCAGGGGGAGGACAAGAGCCACACTATACACCCAGGGGGAAGTCAAGAGCCACACTATACACCCAGGGGGAGGTCAAGAGCCACACTATACACCCAGGGGGAGGTCAAGAGCCACACTATACAACCAGGGGGAGGTCAAGAGCCACTCTATACACCCAGGGGGAGGGTAAGAGTCACTATACACCCAGGGGGAGGTCAAGAGTCACTATACACCCAGGGGAGGACAAGA